TTCAGTCTCTGAGCAGTGCCCAAGAAAGTTGTCTCCCACACACATGAGCTTGGATAGAAAGTCTCATTGTGCCTGAGGAGCAGAGTTGTCAAGAGGAGTCTCCAACCTTGTGCTTAGATGCTCGCTGCCCTTCCCCTTCTCCGGCCAAAGCCCAGCAGTCTATAGCTTTCCATCACTGGAAACGCAGAGGAGCCTTCCACCTCTGTGAACAAGAAAGCAGAGAAAATTCAATAGGACAGACTATGTTGACACCACACTTATGCACGGAAACAAATGAAAAAGAAGAACTATAATTAAACTTTAATGATTAGGATATGGATTGTTTTATTAAGCAAATGGATTTTAATCTTGACGGCATCCCATAAATCATCTACCTTGCTACTGCTGTGAAATGGCATGTGATCTGATGCTGGAAGTCAGCGTAGGGCAAATGCCACCGTTGTAATCATCTTGGGCAGCATATTGTGGCATGTTGAAGTCATGACAGCAGATGAATGCCCTTTTTGATGCCCTTTTTGAACAACACGCCAGCTGAAGGCGGGCAGAAATACTGCACTCTCCGACGCCAGGTTGGAGTACCACCCAGTGAAGAGTACAAGGATGTCCGAGCAGTGTCGCCTCTTATATGCCGTGACAAATGGCAAATCCATGTCCTGTGTCGATCCAGTGATGAGAAGGCTCGGAGAGCAAAGTTGCACAAACACAGGAAAAGCTCCAGCAGGTGGGAAATAGGAGGGTGAGTGATACATACTGGGCGACGATCAGTTTGAAGGCTGTTGAAAGGTGATGTAAGAAAATTCTTGATGCAAATGCTGCAAGCAAAAACTGCTATGTGTACATTTTTAAACACCTTCAGCAGACAAATGCAGTCTATTGAGCTAAAGAGGATCTAGTTAGACAGCTATAAGTGTCTGCATTGTTTCTATGCCTTTGAGGGGGGGAGTGGATTCGGAGCTGCATGGTTGTGCGATATTGTAATGTGCCCTGTCAAGCACAGTAGGCTTTTGTGCCTGGGGATGAGCTAACTGCTTGTTTTGCAGAGGGGGTGCCGGGGTGCACCACCGTAGCAAGTCAGAGCTGCTCCCCGGTGGCACTGCTGGAGGTGGGCTGGGGGCGCATTTATTTATGGATGCGTGACAAATAGTTGCTGTCCTCGAAGCTTTCGGCCACAGCAGTCATGTCACACGTGCATCTTGCAGGTTTTAACCCAGCTGTTTTCCAAGCACTGAGCTGTGGGATAAGCAGGCTTAACTGTACGTAGGTCAATAGGGTAGCAGTTGTCTGTCTCAGGGCTGAATTTGGCCCATTATCAGTAAGTTCACAGAAAAGCTCTTGCTCTATCTTACATGCTCGTGTTAGTCAAATATTATTCTTTGAGAAAAATGACAGAGAGAGGAAATTATTTTATCGAGACGTGAAGTAGGTCATTGTTATATCCTGCCTTATCATTTTCCCCGCGATACCAAAAAAATACAAACTGGACACAGGCCTTGGAGAATGAAAGCTTTCTTTTTTTTTTTTGCAGAAACTTGAAAAGCTTGACACGGAGAGAGGCGAGGGAGTGAGGCAGCGCGCTCCGAGCATGACGTGATGCACTGTTGCCTGTTCAAGGGAAGAGTACAGCCTGTGGTGTGGGGCTGTCACCAGGATCCTGCTCTTTGTAAGGGCAGCAACCCCCAGTCTGAAAAAAAACCGTCTGTGAGGCACCCCTTCTTTTTCCAAAGGGCAGGATCTTGGTGACGCTGCTCAGCTGGCTGGTGGCTGGGGGAGGTGGAGAGCAAGAAAAGGGGAAGTCGGAGGGAGCAAAGAAAGGGCGACAGCCTGGGAAGGAAGAGGGAACTTGTATAACGGAGAGCTCGGACCTGCCGTGATTCCAAAGAAGTGTTTTTGGGACTGTTCTTCAAGGCCAAGGAGTGAAAGGGGCTAGAGAAGTACTATACAAAAGTATTACGAGATGTACTATTTAGAAGTATTATTGTTTTCATTATATTTTTGAATTATACTTAAAAAAAAAAATCCGGGACTATATTTAAGGAACATTTTTATCACCCAAGGCACCCATCTCAGGGGATTTTTCAGCACCAGGGGAAAGCGATCAGTAATGGACACACATTATTAACGCAATAATATCTCCCCAACCCTGAAGCAGAGTTTGGTTTGAGAGGACACTATCAAAAACTCAAAGGCAAAAAGTATTGTTGCGATAAACCTAAAAAAAAAAAAACAAAGCAGACCAAAACACAATGGCTTCAAGCCTCCCAAATTGCTGGTTAACTCAGAAAATAAAGTAACCCTAACCTCATAGCTGCAGTGTCTCTGCAGGGGTATCCCCGTGGGAGGTGAATTCTTTGTCTTGTTTTCAAAATCCCCTTCAACTGATCTTGGATCACAGCTGCTGGAAGATCATAAAGTCTGTGCGACAGTCACCAATTTGCGTGCTGGTCCTGAAGTCCCTCACCACCCTGGGGCAGTCCGACATCCCTCAGGGTGCACTGGGGCAGGAGCTCTCCTCCCAGCTGCTCATCCTGGGGCTCTGCCTGCTGGGTCGAACCGGCAGAGAGCAGGCGGCAGGGTGGCACCAGCAGGGCACCGTGCCGCTGCTGAGGATGGACGGGGTAAGATCTTGTCAGCGGTGGCAAAGCACCTTAGTAGGTTTTGCCAAACATCCGAATGAAGGTATTGGCCCTGCCTTTCCTCTGAGCACCCTGTGACACACTGCACTTCCTTGTGCTCCTGCTCACATGGTTTTATAGCATGCCTTGCTGTTTCTGCACCAGGACTGCCTGTTCACAGGGACAACCGGTAAGCAGGAGGCAAATCCAAGAGCAAAGCTGCACGGCTCAGAGGAAAGAGGAGAAGAAAACATGCTTTGGCAACGTGCCATGTGTGAGTGGGGAAGGTGAGAGTGGCAGGGGTGAGAGGTGAGCAAACCACACCTTGGTTTGGACGCATGTCTCTGAGGAATCGGGGTATCTGCAACGTGGACCTTCTTTGGCCTGCTCTGCTGGTCAATCCAAATATGACGCTCCTTACTAGTTTCTCCTAGCTGCCACAACCTTAGCTGTGCCCCAGGTGGAAGACCTCTTCCCAGTACCCCCAAAACAGCCACTGACCTCCTAGTCCACCCCATTCCTGAGCTCTAGAGGCTCTTTCCAGCAGCTGGGGAAAACATTCCTAAGTCCCTTCCTACTACTAAACTTTCTCCCTGTCTGCACAGAGTAATGGGTAACTTTTCTGCTAGAGCCTTCCTGACATTTGTCACACTCCAGGAGTGAAATCCTGCTGGCTGACTCTCCTGGGTCCTGCACCAGCCCTCCTCTCATCCCTGCTATGAGCACTCTGTTCACACTTTACTGTAATCCATGCCTGAGCTGAGGAGACTTGTATTTGTGACTCTCTTTTATGTGAATCACACAGGTAGTTCTCCACGGAATTCGTGCTGTCCCCAGTCTGAGCCTAGACTGCAGTCCACCATCTCCTGTGGACTCTTCTACCCCAATCTTCAGTGCCATAATCTGTGTTCCTCAAGTCATCTGTATCTCAAAGACATTTTCTATACATCGGAGACATTTTCCTTACTAGCCAAGTTGAAAGACCCTTACCTATTTGCCTCTCAAGATTATGCCAGGCATCTGTTTTATTTTCGGGTTGATTAGAGTCATTCGGAATGAGGATGAACCCCAGCAGTCAATGTGCACAGCCAAAATTTATACACATCACACACCTTTATGCACATCACCGACATGTTGCACGCAAACACCTCACCTTGCCAGCTTTTCAGGCCTCAGAGCTGTTTCAAACAGGAGCCATGTTACAAAACAGCCTGCCAGACATGATTTTTTCCCCCAAAATGTGCATCCAGGCCCGTGACAGATTTAAGGAGCACATTGTGCAGCGTGAGAATGGAGAGTTTGGCAGGGAGATTCCAGCTACACAGTGGGAGATGCAGAACTTTATTCT